TAGTGAAGAGAAGGACCAAGGGAGACAGGATAGCAGTCTTCCAATATTTGAGGGACTGCCACAGAGAGGAAGGGGTCAAGCTATTTTCCAAAGCCCCCGAAGGCCAGACAAGGAATAATGGATGGAAACTGATCAAGGAGGGATTCAATCAAGAAACAAGGAGAAATTTTCTAACAGTAGGAACAACAACCCATGTAACAGCCTTCAGAAGTTGTGGGAGCTTCGTCACTGGAAGTTTTCAAGAAGAGGCTGGACTGCCATGGCGTAGGGCAGTAGTGGCTAACCTTTTTGGGCTCCTGTGCCAAAAATTGCTTACCCGATCGTTCTGTAATCAGTTCCTTTGGCAGGGATTCATGAGGACTCACATGCCAGCACCCAGAAGGCAATGCATGTGCCCCCACGCCCCCTGCGCATGTGCACGCAATCACCCCCTGCCGCCCCCTTACTGCACTGCGCCCCACAACTGATTTTCGGCCTGTTTGAGGTCTTTTTGGCCTCCCAGAGACTTGAGGAAAGCCTTTGCAGGCCAAAAAGCAGGCCCGTTTCGTCACAAAATGGGCCTATTTTTTGGCCTGCAAAAGCTTTCCTCAAGCCTCTGGGGGGGGGGGGCAAAAAAGGCCTCAAATAAGCCCAAAATCAGCTGTGAGGCATGCGCAGTGAGGTAAGTTTGCCTGCAGCTCGTGTGCCAGCACAAATGGCTCTGTGTGCCACCTGTGGCACGGGTGCCATAGGTTCACCATCATGGATATAGGGTCTCCTGCTTGGGCAGGGGGTTGGACTAGATGACCTTCAAGGTCCCTTCCAACTCTTGTTGTTCTGTTATTCTGATATCCCACCATATTTTCATAGGCATGGGGTGGAGGAATTTCCCATCCCCAAGAGGCCAGAACCAACCAATGACGTTCAAGACAAACTGAAAAATCATAAAATGCATGAGTTGGAAGGGACTTCAGAGATAATCTAGCTGAACCCTCTGGGTCAGTGTAAGCATCTTCATGAGGATTGGAGAATGGTGGCCACCCGAATCTGGTTTTAACAACTCCAGCAAGGAAGAAGCCACCCACGGGATGTCCAACTTTGGCAACTTTTAAGACTTCAACTCCCAGAATTCCCCAGCCGGCCCTGTTTAGCGGAATACACTAAACCTATCCCCGATAAGAAAAATGCCAAACTGTTTCTTGGGTTTCAATTCAGCTCCTGTCCTCTCCACGTCCCTTTCTTGGCCCTTGTACTCAGGGGTGGGCTGCTGTGGGCTCGTAGGGGCTCAGGAGAGCCCTTAGCTAAGACTCTGCGTGGCTCAGAGAGCCCCCAATAACCTCAGAAAGACAAGCAGCAAGGGAAAGCTCTTAATAGGCTTAATTGAAATTCTGGGCATTCAGCCAAGAGCATTTCTCACCTGGTAAAAGTGTTGCAAGCTAGATAAACAATCCACTCAGCGCTTGCGAAGGAGAGCCATTGAGCAAATCAGATAACATAGCCACTAGCCTCTGAGGGGATGAATCCCCAAATAATAAGAATCATGTAACTCACCAGAAACTCCATTAAGACTCCAAGATCCCTCGCAGAATCACTGCTATTAAGCCTGGTTACACCCAGTCTTTTATTTAAGTATTAAATGCATGAAATAATAAACAACTTTTTCACACACACACACACACACACACACACACACACACGTATGTATGTATATATGTGTGTATATATATATATATATATATATATATATATATATATATATATATGGTATTCAGCTTTGCTTGGGTATTTTCCCACGTCATTGTAGTTGTGCTTTTAAAGTTGTAGCAACATTTCAGCAGAATCTCATCTGCCATCATCAGGCTTCTGTATTGTCTGTATATATATATATGTATGTATGTATATATAGATATAGGTATAGGAATAGATATAGGTATAGGTATAGGTATATGTTTTCTGAGGTTCTCGCGGGTATTTGTATGTGGATCTTTGGTTGTTCGGGTTTTCTCCCACGTAAGATTGGAAGTATCTAGGCAACGTTTCGATGAAGTCTCATTCGTCATCTTCAGGCTTGTGTCTTCGGCTCTGTGCTTCTGAGAGTGAATGTATATGTATATGTATATAGAGAGAGATATATATGTGTGTGTGTGTATATGTGTGTGTGTATCTATAGCTATACACATACATACATACATACATATTCATACATACATGTAATTAGGGGAAGAAGCGATGTCGAGTTGGCCATAACCACCCAGTCACATGACCACCCAGCCACATCCACCCAGCCAGTCATTAGGGCAAAGAGCCCCTTGCTAAAAAAAAAAAACCATGAAGCCCACCCCTGCTTGTACTCCATTCTGATAAGCAGCTGGTATTTCTCCAATGGCTTTATGGAAACACCAGGCACCGGGGAATTTTAGCTTGGCTTTGCACGGGATTCATCCTCCGTTCCAAAGCTCTCCCCCCGCATACATTTAGTGTGGCTGAATACAACTTGGCAAGCCAGGAGGGAAGAGAAACGAAGGGGGGGTCATGGTCCAAAGAACAGTTTGGGGGAGTTTTATCGTCCCAGCCTCTGCATGCTCGGTCTTTGTCCAAATAAAACGGGGTGGGGGGGCTTTTTTGGTGGGGTTTTGTCTATCTGCCTTGCGCATGGCTGGGGAAGGAGAAGGAGGGAGGGGCAGGCACCGATGTTGATTGACCCTTCCCTCCTCTGATTGCAAAATCCGTGAGGCACCCAACCTCTTCAGTGAAGGGACACCAAGCCCCCCCCACCCCCCCTGTTTCTTCCCCCCCCCCTTCCAAGCTGTTACACTGCCAAGAGATGAGTAATTTCCAAATGTGCGCTCAGATTCCGCAAAGCAGCCTTCGTGGTTGTTATGATTCCCAGCAAGGCCAAAAACATGACAGCTTTTCAACCCTGGAGAAGCCAAGATGCTCCCTCTTGCCTTTTTTGAGAGGGGGGGGGACGGAGTTGTGATGGGGGCGGGGTGTGCGTGGAAGTGTGGAAAGGAATTGTTTTTGGCTGCCAAAAGCAGCGTTTCCTTAATTTATTTATGAAAAGATTTGCAGGGGTGGGTGGGTTTGGTGAACGTGGGGAAGGGCTGTTTGTTCTTAATTTTTTTTTTTTTTTTAAGCAGCCCTTGGGCCACTCTGAAAGTGCACCCTCTTCTTTTTACTAGTATGGATAAATTTGCTTTTATTTCAAAGCAAGATGGGACGTCCCAGTGAAAGTTCAGTGTCCTGCTGAATATTTTCTTTTAATAAAAGCTTTACAAAATTAAGTTCAGTGCGTGACTTACATAACTGCGGTTGGGACCAAAAGTTGTTAAGTGAGGGTCGTGCCCAATGTTACGACCATTTTTCCCAGGGTCTTTAAGCAAATTACCCCGCTGTTAAGCAAATCTGGCTTCCCCCATTGGCTTGGCTTATCTGAAGCCGCTGGGTAGTTGGTAAACGGTAAATCACGTGACCTCAGAACGGTTGGGATTCAAAATGTTTTACTACCAGTTCTCTGGGCGTGGTGCAGCTTGGTGGGCATGGCTTAGTGGGCGTGGCAGGGGAAGGATACTGCAAAATCCCCGTTCCCTCCCCACCCCACTAACCTGCTTTCCAGGTCTGTTCTCCTGTGCAGGGCAACCAAAGAAAACCTAGCCAATCAGCTGGGACTCAGGAGGTGGAGAATAGATGGGGGCGGGGCCAGTCAGAGGTGGTATTTGCCGGTTCTCCAAACTACTCAAAATTTCCGCTACCGGTTCTCTAGAACCAGTCAGAACCTGCTGAATACCACCTGTGTTCAGGACACTGATAAGCTGCTTTTTTCTCTCTGTACTGGCTTAACTTTTCAATACTGTCATTAAATGAATCATTGTAAGTTGAGGACTACCTGGTAGGGAGATGCTAGCAGGATTTGGTGGGACCTGATGGAGGAACCTTTTGTTGTTCAGATGGCTAGCTGAAGAAACCACAGGCTTGACTGACAACAGTTCATTTAGTGACTGGCCAAAGTTACAACGGCACTTGGAAAAAAATTGACTTATGACAATTGCAGCATCCCCATGGATATTTGACAACTGTCTCACATTTATGACGATTGCAGTGTCTCGGGGTCACCTGATCCCCTTTTGCGACCTTCTGAAAAGCTGTGGGGAAACCAAATTCACTTAAGAACTGTGTGGCTCATTGAAGAAGTGTAGAGTTCCGCTTAACAAAAGTGGCGAGAAAAGCCATAAAATGGGACAAAACTCACGGAAAAACTTTCTCCCTTGAGAACATAATTTGGGTCTCTGTTGTGGTCATAAGTCAAGGATTACCCATAGCGTGTTCCATCATCAACTGGTTTAACACCTCCATTCTTGTATCCCGAATCCATAACTACTTGTAATCTCAATTTTGGGAAAGTGACTTCAACACCTGGAAGTCCTTTCGTCAGAGGTGGGCTTCAGCCGGTTTGTACTAGTTCAGGTGAACCGGATGTTAATTTTACGTCCTGTTCAATGAACCGGTAGTTCTGATGAGCATGCTGGCCCTGCCCCACCCTGCCTCATTCCTCCCAGGGGTCTCCCCGTGGCCCGTTTTGGATCCCAGGTAAGTGTAGCGGGTGCATGGAGCTCGGGGAGGTGGAAACCGGGCCTCCCAGAGGGTTGTGGAGGGCAAAAACGGGCCTATTTCCCGCCTCCAGAGATCCTCCGGATCCCGGGGAGGTTGAAAACGGGCCCTCCACAGCCCGTTTTTGCTCCCAGGATCGTGCAGGAGGCCGACTAGGCCACGCCCACCATGGCCATTCCTGCCCAGCAACCGGGCCGAAAACCGGTTGTTAAATTATTTGAAGCCCACCACTGTCTTTCTTGATGTTGAGTAGTTTCAGGAAACTCGGGGTGGGGTGGCGGGGGGAATCAATATTTCTGTTCCTGGAGTGATAAATTCTGTTTGACATCCTCTGCTTTTTGTCTAGGCTGAGCCAACCGATCCGTGTCCGTTTCTTGGAACCGGATGGGACGGTCCTTTTTGAACATCCTATACAACAAGGCACCGTCTTCCAAGATGGTATGGTAAGTGCACCACAATTAATGAGAATAGCCCTGGAAGGGACCTTGGAGGTCTTCTAGCCAACCCTTTGTGGTGGTTGCAGTGTCCCAGGGTCACATGATCCCCCTTTGCAACCTGCTGACAAGCAAGGTAAGTGGGGAAGCCGGATTTACTTAACAACCTGGTTACTCACTTAACAACTGCAATGAGTCAATTAACAACTGTAGCAAGGAAGGGCATGGTTGGTTGCCTGGTTGCTGGGTGGGCGTGGGTGTGGTGGGCGTGGCCTACTGCAACTTCTGGGACAGCCATTTTTTTTTTTGCCTTTCCCAGAGTCCGGAGGCTTCCCTCAGGCCTCTGGGAGGGCGAAAACAGCCTTCCCCAGGCTCCAGAGGACCTTTTCTGAACTTCCGAAACTTCTGGTTCAGCCCAGTTTTCGCCCTCCCAGAGCCTCTGCACAGTCCCTGCATTTACCTGCATCCAAAATGGGCTACATGGAGACTCCTGAGTGGGGAGGGATGGTGTGGGCGGGGCCAGCTAGTCAGTTTAAGTACCGGTTCGGTCCCCCAGATGTAAATTTAAAATCTGGTCTGGCTGAACAGGGCCGAACTGGCTGAACCCCACTCCTGGTTTTGCGGGGGGCTATGAGGTTTCAATCCACACACCTTGCCTCTTCTTTTTTTCTAGATCTGTGGCATGTGGCGGAATTTGCAGAAGGCTTCCATCCGGTTGTTGAAAGTGGACCAGATGCGCATAACCCTAATCACCCAGACTCATCCTGCAGGGGAGGTTCACGGGCAGATCGTGAAGCACCGGGCCCTCTTTGCAGGTAATCTAGGGTTTAGGCAGCCAGGGTTATCCTGGGGAACTTTTCCAAGATCTGGGAAATTTTTAACTTTCCATGTCACACAAAGAGTCTACAAACCTGTTTCAAAAGATAAGGCACCCTTAATGTAGAATATCATCTCAATCTACTTGGAGAAAGAAAGAAAGAAAGAAAGAAAGAAAGAAAGAAAGAAAGAAAGA